GGGGGGGGGGGGGGGGGGGGGGAGGAGCTGCAATTGGACCACGAGGCTCCGAGATGTAACGTCGAGCGAGGATTCAGCCCCGAGGAAACTTTCACTTGGCGAAATGAAATTTCCTAACGTTACGCTCATGAATTACGAGACAGGTTAACGAGAAGAAGTATCTATATTATTCTATAGACTCCGTGGGTTCGTGCGGGCTCGTTATGGACCAGCAAGAGATAAGAGGATTGTTCGAGGCAACCATATAACGGTAGACGCTAACCAATGAGATTCGCAGCGTTAGGTCTTTGGTGGTCTTACACTCGTACAGTGCGGAACAAGAGTGCAGACCCTGATGTCATTGGCTCCTGAACGGTGGCGTCTCCATTGACTCGCTGCAGGTGCATCGGGAACTCTAAGGCTCTTCCTTCCCACAGCCCTTCGCCAGGACCTCATTACAATTATTATATATTAGGCAGAGCGAAGGGCTCGAGTTAATTAGAAACTCGAGAAATAAGTAATCGCTGGAGTTTCCGTCAATGAGTCACAGTCACAGCTGTCAACTGAGATCCGCTGAGCAGAGCGCGTTCGCAGGGTTTGGAGATGTTTGCGTGGAGAGAAGCGTCGTGACGGGGAAGCTGATCTGAAATCGGGTCCTGCGCAATAGAGTGTCGGTGGGCAAGCAACGTACGCTGGGATGTTTAAGGACCTTTCGGTATACGAGGAACGCTCATAAATTATCGAATTTATGCCCCCCTCGGCCCGTATTTTCTGTGAGCCACATTATCGGTAAACACACTATTAGCTGCTGCTGCCCGTAAGAAAGCTGTGTACCAATCTGGCTCCATAAAACTTGCGAGTGTCCGGTAATAACGTGCAAACGCCCTATCCATCACGGGCGCTGCGCGGACAAAACAGTTAAGCGCCTATCTGCACTATCTCCAGCATCTCCAACCTTTACCCGATGCTTCGCTAATGAACGCTGCTGCGGCTGTTCGCTCATCAGTTGTGATCTCGCAAAAACCCAGAAACCCGCGCTAAGCCTCTTCTCTTCCGATGATCCTTCGGGACCTTCTAGGAGGGAGAGTTCGAAGCTGCATCCACTGCCTCGAGCCGATCCTCCTGAAGTCTTCTTGAGACTTCTTCTTTAACACGAGGATTCTAGCACGGGCGCAATGGTAGGCACCTGAGCCCACCTCGCGGCTCGCCGTTCTATTACGACTTCACAAGTGACTAATTAAATTCTTCGAGAGGACCAGTCTTGGACTGTTCACACGAACTCGAGGTTCCACAGGGGCACGCCCCTCCCA